TTTAATTCTGTTTTTAATTTTAGGTTCAGTTTCCATGAAATACCACACATTTCTATGTTCCCAGTCCAACAAAAGTAAAAAATGTATTGTTCTTGCAGCATGCCAGTGACTAAGCAAGCACCCCATATTCTGTAGCCACCACAGAAAAATTCCCCATCAATTCTTTCCCAGTTACAGTAGACTCTCGCTTATCCGACATAAACGGGCCGGCAGAACGTCGGATAAGCGAAAATGTCGGATAACACACAGTAACGATTGAGTGCGGTAAAAAAAAAAAAAAAAAAAACACGATCCGCCGCGCCTGTTGCAATCGATTTTTGCGTTGCGGCGCCACCGTCAGGAGCAACAAGAAAGTACACTCACGCTCCCAAACAAGCGGCACACTTTTCTCGTCGCCAATTTATGCGTGTTGTTGTTTTTTTTAGGGGCGTCAGATAAGACGGAATGTCGGATAAGCGAAGGTCGGTTAAACGAGACTCTACTGTATTGTTTTGTCAGTCACAGCAAGATAAACCAGAATAGCAAACAGAGCAGCATAAACATGTTGATCTCACAGCATTTCCAGAAGTAGCTCTATAAATCCAATCAAATAGAATTTGAACATTGCATTATTCTGTTCTTAATATTTTATCCCTCCTGAAATAATGATTATACCATAGTTAGTTTCACAAAACTTTACACATGTGATGTTTTGGGGTCTCCCAAGTATGACTGGCCTAGGGATATTTGGTTCAGATTTGCTAAAATAAAAACTTCCTGACACCACCCCATCATTTTCACTTTCAGCCAGATTGTTCCCAGCCCTAATTCTCTAAAAACATGAAAAAAACCTGGCTCCAAAATTATGTTTTGTTGTCTAGGTGGGAAAATGTGTCAGGGAGTGCGTGCAGAAGACATCCTCTCCATTTGCCACATTCTCTGCCAAGTCCTCCTGGTAGATGACATCCTAGTTTCCAGGTGGCAGCCCCAGGTAAGCTCATGTCCCACTGTAGAGCAGGGACTTCTGGGAGTTGAAGTCCACACATGTTCAAGTTGCCAAGGTTGAGAAACACTGGTATAGAGAGTAAAGGAGATGACCTTGACAGAATAAGCAAGAACCATTACCTAGACAAAGAGGGCTGAAATATTCTTTCAGTCCTGGGAACCAAGATAATATTTGGAAGCAGTGCAGGCAAAAAACTCCCTGATTCACTGGGGTATATGAAAGAGGGAGGTAAAGTACAATCAGACTTGACAGATTATGTTGTTATAGCTTATATCAATAAAATAT